GGGCTGGGAACCATCAATGCCCTCCAACTGCAACATCCTGCAGCTGGCCCTTAAGCGGCGGCACCAAAATCCTTCTTAAAAGAGCATTTTATACATCCTCTGGGTGTGCACTCACAAGTGCTGCAGGTCAGGAATACACTGCCTTCCTGCCTGCAACATTGAACAATATTCCCAGCTACCTGTAGGGTCTAAGGAACAGAAAACCACAGAGAACTGCAGCTGCATCTGTCTTTCAAAAAGAGATTGCAGTCCTGCTGGCATAGGGGGCAACTGAGCTTGTCCCTCCAACCAAGATGGAGGCCAAGTTCTTAAGCCTGTACTTCATCGTGCCAAAAAAGAGTGGTGAGTCTAAACCAATCCTGGATCTGCACATCTTGAACTGGTATCTATACAACATACCAATCAGGAAACATCATCGCGTGTGTCTGTCCCCAAAATAGGTTTGCAGGTACAGACCTGAAGGATACATATTTCCATGTCTCGATTTTGCCTCAACACTGGCTGTTTCTGTGGTTTGCATTTAAGGGTCAAGCATGGCAGTATGGCAGCATGCATGAGTCTTTACGAAGGTCATGAAGGATGCTCTACTGCCACTCCAGCAGAAATGCATCGGCATTCTTAATTATCTCGACAATTGGCTAATCCTAGCTCAATCCTGGAGTTATTTGGTAATGCACAGGGATCTAGTGCAGGGACTTGTGCACCTGAGCCGGTTGGAGTTACAGGTAGACTGGGAAAAGAGCAAGCTCTCCTTCAAGCAGAGCATCACTTCTCTTGGAGAGGAGCTGTACTCTGTTGCCAGAAGTGCAGGTCTCTCTGGAAAATCTGTCTCATCAATCTTGACCTGTCTGTAATGATTTAGCAGGAAAACAGTTACATATGAGACCACTTCAGCATTGGCTGCACGATCAAGTCCTCAGATGGCCATGGTGCACCGGCCCACAGCAGTGGTTCTCACACCACAGTGTTACCGATGTTTCAACCCTTGAACGGCCCTTGCCATTTTGCGGGCTGGGTGCACCTGGGGCAAGTGTCCAGGCATTCCATTGTAATTACGGATACCTCCTCTGCAGGTTTGGACACGCTCTGACAATGGCTCACCTTTCCAGGAGAATGGTGGCTCCACCCTGATGCAGTCCAGCTGATATGGGAACATTTCGCCAAGGCTCAGTTCGACCTGTTTACCTCAGCCGAGACCACCCGGCCTTAGGTGGAGTCTATTCATTGAGTTGCTCACTCCTCCTCGCACTCCTTTTGTACCCTCTTGGGACCCTCCATAGTTCTATTCGAAGTGCAGAGACATCCCCAAGAGGAGGCATTTTTCGGTCAATGAATTGTGCCTAGAATTTGGACTGGCGTTATCATACTAAAGTTATCCTGAGACCCTGGCACATTCATACACATTCACACGATTCTATGATCTTCAAGTGGAGCTGGTTTCTCCCAGAGTGCTTGATAACCCCATTCATTCAAGAGGAAACTAAGCTCTGTGTCAAAAATGCTTGCTGCACCACGCTCCCTAACCAGAGCTAAGTGCTTGTTTTAACTGCTCTACTAGGTGAGTTGCCTACTGGCAAACTCTAAAAAGTTACTTCAGGGCCCCCTCCACTTGACTCGGCAGAGGAGTTAGGTGCAGGCCCATTATTTTGTTGGTATGCTTGTTGGTGATCCCATATTCTATGCGTGATAAGTTCAGCTTAAGGTCAGTCAACTCAACATAAACTTGTAGGGGATCGACTGAGGTGGAACACCTGAGTTACATATGTAACCCTCATCTCCCGAAGGAGGGAACAAAGATGTTTTTTGTAACCCTGCTACCGGAGCTGAATCCACTATTACTGATTTCTTCAGTGAGTAGTGTGATGAGCTTTACACACAGCTTTTTATACTCCAAAATGCAGAGTGGCTGCACCTGTGAGAGCTGCGCTTGCCAATCTTATATGCATTCTATTGGCCCGTCTTTTATACAGAACAGAATGATTGGTGCTTCTAAATGATCTACTTGACATAAACGTCTCCATTTCCTCCTTCGGGGAACTCGGATTACGTATGTAACCAAGACGCTTAGAATGTATGTAATGTGATTCATTTATTTAATTAGTCTTAGCAACTCCTTACTTTTTTATATTTGTGACTTGCATACACATTTATATCTGTTCTTTTTTTCTCCAGATTTTTAGAATTTTATTTTTAATGAGATGAACGACTTATAATTTCTCCTATACTTACCTCCATATCAGTAATTTACTTTGCATTGTTCCCCTCTTTTCTTATAGCTCAGCTCTTTTCACAACATTATGTGTTGACTCTCATGACACTTGGGACATCTGCATGCTGAGACTGTAGACTCCACACATTCATACTGTCTATGTCTATTGTTGTTACTTAAGACCCTTTTATAGTTCTATGTTCTTTATTATTTTTCATTTAGGGGCAAAAATAAACTGAGCAAGGCTGACAGGATACTGTTTTCTTTGCCACAGTTTTAAATGTGTCACGTTGCTTGAGTGTACTGCTAAATACAACAACAATGGTGTCTGAGAGAGACAGTTTCATAAACATGTGGCAAAGAGCTGCAGCACATCAAATTGCTTTAAATTTGCCATGGACAGACACAGATGAAAAGGTTGTGCTTCTCAACTGGTGTGTGACCTCCAAAGTATTCCATGTACAGGTGCAGATACATGCTTTCCAGTCGTTTATTCATGTTGCAAATGCTAGTGTTGTTGTACTATGTTTTTCTCCTGTCTGGCTCTTAACTGTTCAAGGACACAATTACTGATTGTGTAGTCGTAACCGACCTATGGTAGCTTAAAGGAGTTTAGGAGCCATAACGAACGCCCCCAAAGCGTTCACATTAGTGAGCTGTTTCGGACTGCCAAAACAAACTAAAAAAGAACTTCATTTTGGATTAATGTTGTTTGACATTGTCATGTCATTTTTTAACTTTTATTTTATTTCTTTATTTGTTTTTTCAATCTTAATCGAAGTATACCTGGGCATTTACAATAAACTGAGCTCAGTGTGGTTGTTGCTTAATCCCTAGACCAGTATATTTCCCTTGAATTGTCCATAATTGCAGTCCTGATGTTTTGTCTTTAGCCACCTTTTTCCTGCTTATTCTGAAATTATTAGCTACTTGTACTCTGCATCCAAATTCAGACAAATGGTTTATTTCAGTCTTCCTGCATCAGTAATATCTTCTTTGCTTAACAGCTTGACATCACACAATCAATAAAGTTAATCTTTCTTATCTAGAGACTTCTTTTATCTTCTTTTCTTTCCTCTTTACCCTAAATGTCATTTATATGTATACTGATTTGAGACTGTTGGATCAGGATGTTTACTGAGAATTTATCCCTTGCAAAAATATCACATTCTGGCAAACCCATGTGTTGAACAAATGTTTATTTTTATATGTGAATGAGCATTGGGAAGAGTTTGCAGCAAATTTGCGGCAGACAGTTGTGGCAAGTCTGTGGTGAACATGAATGCAATACAGGTGCTTCTACTTTTTTGGTGCATATTTAAGGATTATATTTATACAGCCAAACTTTCAGTAATCATAACAAAAATACATTTACTAATACAAATGTCAGCATGACTTCAGATACTTCTAAATACTTATAACATTATTTAAAATATATTAACATTTAGAAGACAAATCAGTCTTAAATGTTGTCAATGCTATCATAAAATTAACCATTAATACTCTAAATTCATCCATTTACTTGTTTTCTCTTCACATATCTACTAAGCATGACTACTCCCCTACAGGTATGAGTTCACTTCTTTGTTGAAATCTGCATCTTTCATTTTCAGATGATCTGAAAATGAATTGAAAAAGAGAGTGAAACGAAACTGTATCATGGGGTGACAGAACATTAAGCATGTGTTATTCATTTCATTGCTCAGACTTTATTAATTTTAACTTAAATGCTGTTGATGTCTTGCCATACAGATCACATGATTCTAAAAGTCCCTCCATGAGTTTGTGATTGGTGAAGCCTGGGCCTTCATGCTGGAACCTCTCAAGAGTTGTTACAAGCCATGTTTTTAAGACTGCCAATGACTTCAGTATCAGGGGCAGGCTTCATTCTCTTTCAGGATCAACTGGTAAATAAATGAGTTTCTAAACAATCTATATATATATATATATATATTTATATACAGCTGATACAGAATTTGAGCATGGAATTTCATCTAATCACATCTAACATCATCAACGGGTTGCATATTTACAGACATTGAAAGGAAAACTTTACTGCTTCTTCAAAGCGAATGTAAAAAAATAATAGTAATAAAAGAAAAGAGGGTTACAGATAAATATGGCACCAAGTGGTATAACATAAATAGACAGACAGACAGTGCTTTTTAACCTATTTTCACTTTTGATTTAAAAATATCATTACATGATTCATGTCAAGTCAAGAACTGTGACTTTAGTAGTACTTCAGTCATATCGATTGACATTATGACATAAATTTCATGCTATTTTCATAATTTTGTCATTTATGTATTGTATTATGAAGTAAAAGTGCTTTCCCTCGCTGAGAGAATCTCACTGCTTTTATGTTGCTGCAAATTTGCCGCAAATTACCCATAAGTTAGCTGCAAATAAATGTTTTTGCAAGGGACTTGCTATTTTCACTATCAATAGTGTTAGAGTCTAAATATTAGTCTGTACTGTTTGAACCAAACGTACATTTCAAATGCATGTTTTTTTTGCAGTAGTACAATTAGTACAAATAATGTTATTCACAAAATAAGTGTAAATAAAGAAATATATTTGTATTCAAGGCAAATAGTGGGCAGAGGTAGGAACATGAGCCATGGCTTTTTGCACCTGGCTTTTAAAATAAATATATCAGATTGTATTTATGAAGCACATTTGAAATGTGGATTTGTACAGTAAGAGTAAATCATTGTATGATGAACTTTGAATTCAGCAATTTGATGACAACATTTAATCAATTTCTCCCCCTTTCCTTTTTCTGCAGTGTGCAAGTTGTCCTGCCATAAGAAATGTGAGGTAAAGGTAAATATTGGGAATGTTTTTATATTTTTACTGATGCTTTTAATCTAATTGGCTTTTCTTTGCTGACCTCTCTGCGCAAGTTAGAAGGGTTAAAACAAATTTCTTAGGGATAACCATACTAGTAAAGTGTTAAACTAAAAGATATCAAGATATTACATCTAGGTGCTTGGCAGTATAGTCAGGCATCTCTTCAGAATCTGAACAGCATGTGCCTCATGAGTTGTAAAACAACCTAGGTAAATTAATACTCAGTGATATAAATGTGCGAGACAAGTTTGGTATTTAAGCTACTTTATTTTTTTAACACATTTCCTAACAAAATAGTTTGTTCTGTAGACAATTGGAAAAAATATATAGCTTAAAGAGGCTAATAATTTTTTTAATTTAATTAAAAAATGTTGTCCTTAAAATGGTGTTTAAAAAATAAAAACTGATTTTATTCTTGCTTAAATAAAACAAATAAGACTTTCTCCAAAAGAAAAAATATTCAGACATACTGAAAATTTCTTTGCTCTGTTAATCATCATTTGGGATCTAATTAAAAAAGAAAAAAAAATCAAAGGGGGGCTAATAATTCTGACTTTAACTGTATATGAAATGAATTATTTCTAAAAATATTCCCATCGTCTTGCATAAGCTTCAGTTGCATCATGCACATATATAATGCATGTTAATCTGTATATATTTTTTAAATATATCTACTATATAATTTACATATTAAATCTCAGTTATTTTATTGCTTAAAATAAAACAATTAAATAATAAATTAATTTTGTAACTCCTACTGACCTACTGACATTTGTGCACCAGTTTACTGTCTTTCTTAAGTTTAAACTTAGCAACATGACAAAACAACACTGTGCTGCACACCACAAACACTTTGGGTTGTTTATGAAAATAGTGTTGGCCACAGTATTCTTTACTGTTTATATCTAGAGCTAAAGGGCTTTTATAAAGATTGTCCACTGTGTGCCTCTCATTGCTTCTCTCCCTGGCTAAAGACGTAAAGCTACTGTACATCAGAGCTGCAAATGATGACAGTATTTTAACAACTCTGACAGAAACATTGTGAGCAGCAAAACAGATTGATACTTTTGCCAAAACACAGTTTAAAATGCAGTCAGGTGCAATAATCTTTTTCTCATACAGTTTAACCTATGTCGTGTTTGACTGATCATTTCAGTAAACCAGATTTGCATTATTTTTTAGCTTTATTCAAGAGTATTGCATTTACTCTGAATGTAACAGAATTTTATAATGTAAAATATAGGTTACCAAAATGAAAAATAAATAATTAAATTATATATATATATAATATATATATTAGAGCTGAGAAAAAAGGAATCGTAATGAATCACATCCAAAATAAAATTGAGTTGTTTTGACTCACTATATTTATGATGTATATATAAATACACACATGCGTGCATATATTTGAAATTTGAGAACATGTTTATTTATATTTAGATATAAAATATAAATGTATTTTATACAAATAATAATCTATAAATTTAAATAGCTAAGTAACAAATTTTTTTGTGTGTGTATAACAATTGTTTAAACTTTTTGGATGCATTAATCGTGATTTCTCTTTGCCCATGATAATATATATTATTGTAGATTTCAAAGACGCATTGTTGGAATAAAGTTAATAAAAATATGAACCTTACACTATGAACCTTAAATTATTTTAATAATGCCACATTTTAACATCTTTTAACTGTTGTCTTGCCTTTAGAGAGAAGACCTTTTATTCCTCTGCCATAACAGAATGGCTTAAGTGTTAATTAGTTGGTTATATGTAGGCCCACACAGAATCTGTGCCCATCATCAAGTCTATTTATTTACTTGTGTAAATATGTGCAAATTTATCTATATTCAGTTTTTAAATTAATTTCAGTAATAATATTGACTTAATAGGAAAGTGTTTATATGATTTCATTACAACACAATATGTAAATTTTTTTCTGTCTATTAGTAGATTTATTATATGAGAGACTTACTTTGTTTACCAAATAAGTGGATCTAGATGAATTTGCATTGCACTTAATTAAATTAAAGTTAAAAAGCTATGATTTTTTAATTTATATATTAAGTTTATAGTTACGATACTTCCAAAATAATTCAGCAAAAATCCACAGATGTCTTACAAAATTCTCTGCAAAATAAGCAAAAAATATCTGCAGATTCTGTCCAGTCCTAGTTTTATGGCAACATGACACTAAATATTGAAGTGTTACTTCATGTAGCTTAAATTTTCAAGCATTTACAAGTAGTGCATGATGAATAACGTTATGGTTTTTCTTTGTTTCTTTGTTTGTAAATAATAACAACAGGAAGGTTTGTTTTCATGATTAGACTTTATTATTTATTCACAATAAAATGAAATAAAAAAGTCCATGCAGAGAGATGATAATTATGACAGTTCAAGCTTGCATGAGAAGAAACATACTTATTCTACCCCTTTATACCTCTAATAGCAACTTCTCTTTTATGTATCAACCTAATTAAAATAAATAATAATATTCAATGAATTATATTATCTTAAATAATATATAAACATATTATGTACAGTTGAAGTCAGAATTATTACCCCCCCTGAATTATTAGCCCTCTTATTTTTTTTTTCCCTGTTTTCTGTTTAACGGAGAGCAGATCTTTTTAACACATTTCTAAACATAATAGTTTTAATAACTTATCTCTAATAACTCTTTTTATTTTATCATTGCCATGATGACAGTAAATAATATTTTACTAGATATTTTTCAAGACACTTCTATACAGCTTAAAGTGACATTTAAAAGCTTAACTAGGTTAAATAGATTAACTAGGCAGGTTAGGCTAATTAGGCAAGTTATTGTATAACGATGATTTGTTCTGTAGACTATCGGAAAAAATTGCCTAAAGGGGCTAATAATTTTGTCCTTAAAATAGTGTTTAAAAATTAAAAACTGCTTTCATTCTAGCCGAAATAAAACAAATAAGACTTTTTCCAGAAGAAAAAGAATATTATCAGACATACAGTAAAAAATTATTTGCTCTGGTAAACATAATTTAGGAAATATTTAAAAAGAGAAAAAAATTCAAAGGGGGGCTAATTCTGACTTCAACTTATAAAGACTTGTCATAAATAAAAAAAAGAGCAATTCTAAATAGTAAAGGTGTAAAGAAATATTACATGAGATCAGATTTGATCTTCTGTCTATTTACACTTACAGTAATTTAAGTCTCTTTAACACTGTATAGAGAATGCAAGAAATTTGTGTCCATGGGTGAGAAAAAATAATATGTGCACATCTAATTGGTTTAGTGTAAATCTTGAGTATGTAGACACATATGTCAACATACATTTTTTATCCTACTTCAAGTTATAAGGGTTTATGTATTGGAAACTATTTGAAGTAAAAAAGTTTGAGGCCCCAGTTTGGTCCATTGTCACATGTACTGTTAAGAATGACAAGCTCATAGATATCGGCCAGCAGGTGTTGGGTACAGAGGAAGAAGGGAGGGGTGTTCTTATTAGACAGATGGCCCTATAAAGAAAGCAAGACCACCAGGAAAACATGAAAGAAGAAAAGAATACTTGAGAGATGAATATTGTAGATTTCAGTAGAACTAGATGTGATGTTTGTACAGTATTATAAAGGGTTTTGTGCATGCGCATGCGTGCATTTGATTGTTTGTTACAGTTTGGAAGAAGCCTATTTTTAAATGTGAATCTAAAAGCTTTGGTCTGTAACATTCTAGTCCACAATGACACAATCATGTTTACTTAAGTAACTATATTTTAAATGCCTGGGACTTAGCCCATACTTTTGCGTCCTACGAAAAGACATGGCTATTCCATGCTATTTATCACTTATAATTGAATTTTCATCTAATTAAATAATTTTTCTTATTCAGTTATTGCTGGCAAATACCTAATGTAAAATCAGCCAACAGTATAAAAGATAAACCAACAACCAACTGTATTAAAGGTATAAAAATATATGTTTTTTAATTATTTGCATTCATGGCTGCACAAAATTATTTGTGAGTCTAAATTGTTCTTTACAGGATACTAAACTTAAGTTTTTACATTATAAATAGATCATCTTAGGTCTCCCATTCTTTAAAAAAAATGGAAACTTAATGATTTTAATTAACGTTAATTATTTGTTTTATTATAGCTGCACCAAAACCTTGTGATTAACCCACTCCTGGACTTTCTGTAAAAAGAGTTTAAATAAATAAATATTACATTTACTTAAATATTCGATATTTTGAGAAATATAAATGCAAATCTGTAAATCTGTAATCTAAAACTTCTGTACTTTCTAAACACATAAATTTCAATTCTCTCGGGTTTGCACAATTTACACGTTTAGAGTGAGATAAGAGTGTTAGCTCTTCAGCTTTGGAACATTACTGTTAGCTTTGGAACATATTGATTATTTTATCAGTTTTAGATTAACGCAGAGTACCTCACCTGGGGCCTCATGTACGAAGACTTGCGTGGAAATCTTACTAAAACATTGCGTACGCACAAAGCTGTAAATGTGCGTACGCAGAAAAAATTTCAGATGTATGAAACACTGCGTACGCCGAATCTCACGCATATTCTTTTGTACATCTGAATGAACGTGAAACTGAGCGCAACATGCACGAGCACAAAACCCCTCCCTGCCTCCTCCCCCGTATGAATATGCTAATGACTATGCTAATGGAAAAACCCAACGAAAAAGCAATGGCAAAAGCAAGCAAAAAGAGAAACTTTGAACAGAATGTGAATTGGAGGTGCTGCTTTCGGAGGTAGACCGGAGAAAAGCGGTGTTATTTGCAAGTTTGTTTTCCGGAATTAACAACAAAAGAAAAAAAATAGAGTGGCAGAGTTTAGCTGATGCGGTTAACACAGTTGGGTCTGAACATCGCACTGAGTGCATTAAAAAAAAGACATAGTGTGGTTTATATATATTATATATATCTGCAGGACGCTAAACAGTTTCAGTGGCGCTACTCGT